TAGGTTTTTTTTTTTTTTTTTTTTTCAGTCTGTAAACAAAATTGATGCTACAAAAGATATATCATGTATACCTTGTGGTTTCTTGGCAAGTATATACCCACACAATCATGTGGATCCCACTTTGAGAAGGCAGACAGTATATCATTCTTCCTAAAATGTCTCCAGGATGGTCTTTCCATAGCATTGTCATGAGGAACTTGGGAAAATGGGTGGACACTGTTTATGACTTTCTCCTTCAGAGGATTTGTTTCAGAAAGTCAGTTACCAGATAGTAATTTTCTAAACAACCATTTTCATGGATCACTTTCCCAAAATGAAGAGTTTTTTTATAAAGGCCTTTGCTATGCTGTACCATTTAGTAGATATAGCTCAATTACAAGCAATGAGCAAATTGAATGGATTTTTTTCTCTCAAAAGGTAGCTATTAGCTGGAGGTGAGCTCAGGAGACAGCACTTGCCTGAGGTAGTTATATTTTATTTATTGGCCATTTGGTCATGACTTAGACATACCAGTACTGTTAAATACTGCTTCCTATTGGGAAAATACATGTATTTTAGCAATGTAAGCTTTTCCTTAGTATCAAAGTAAGTATTAATGTTGCATATAAGGGTATTTTGACCAGTGTCAGTGTGCAATAGAGTACTAAAACATTATAAAATGAATGTTCAGAAGGTTTATGAGTCCTTTACCTAGTTTCGTAAGGAGAGAAAACATGTCAATTTTTATTTCTACTATAAACAGAATTTTTCTTTATTCTTCTTCATGAATTTTTATACTTCTTGACTACCTTTTGGTGCTTCTAAACATTATTTGTTCTGTTTTGTTGTTTTTGTTTTTGCTTGAGATGGGGTCCCACTATGTTGAGCAGACTAGTCTGGATTTTGTGGGTTTAAGCAATCCTTCCACTTACCCCCTCCCAAGTAGCTGGGACTATAAACACATACTACCATGTCTGGCTTTTAGATTATCTTGATTTGCATATACCTATACTGACTTCCATGAAAAGTAATTTATGATTATTAGCTCAGAGTAGATTCACAGAGACATTGCTTCAGAAATTTCCCGTAATAGACTTTAAAAAACATTAATTTGTTAGATTTTAAGAAGTTATGCAAATAATACATGAATATATTCTTGTAAAAGAGTGAGGTGATGCAGAAGTATACAGAATAAAAACCCTTTTTGGGGAGGGGGACACCTCTATTTTCTAAATTATAATCATTTTTAGAAGTTTAGTGAATAACATTTCAGTCCTTTTTCTTTGTGTTCATCTGTGTTTCTGTGTAGATATTTTGTATCATGAAGCAGACCAGATTTAAAAGCAAATATTTAAAATTGTCTAATCTCAAATTTGACCCTCCCTTGAGACTGTAACACTGAGTTTTTACTTCCTTATAACTTCATATTCTTTTTTATTATTGTCTTACGGATTTTATTGTATATACTCATTTTTTTTCTTTTCCATTTTTAAGGTGACAATTATGGAACTACAGGTAAGGTTAGTTTTTCATTGAAATTGACTGAAGATACTGCATTTTATGAACATTCTTTTTTAAGTTAAAAGATACTTCCTTTTTTTTTTTTTCCTGCATTACTAGGTTTTGAATTCAGGGCCTTGCTCTTCTTAGGCAGGCACTGTACCACTTGATACATTCTTGCTGCCATTTTTTTTTAAGGCTTTAGGTATTTTTCAGATAGAATCTTCATTTTTGCCTGGGGCTGGCCTCTTACTGCCATCTCCTAACCTGTGGTACCCCATGTAGCTGTGAACACATGTGTGTGCCACAACACCCAGCTTATCAAATAAGATGGGATCTCTCTAAGTTTTTTGTCATCTCCTGAGTAGCTGGGATTACAGACAGGTGTGACCTACTATACCCAGACAGGAGATTTTTTTTGAATGAGAAAAAATTTCTCAGGCAATAGAAAAATGCATCCAGGCAATGATGAAACTCGTATTCATTTCAGATCTGACTTTAATTTTTCAGACACAACTGGCACAGAAGACTACTCTAATCAGTGATTCAAAGTTGAAAGAACAAAAATTCAGAGAACAGGTACAGGCTAATTGGTGCCTTTTATTTTGAACTTACTTACATTAGTATGTACTTGAATCTCAGAAGTTTTTTTTAAGACTAGTAATTTAGTAGCTGGCTTTGAAATTCTGTGTGTTTTTTGCTTTGTTTTGTTGTTTCTTTGTTTTTGAGATACGGTCTTGCAATATATTTAGCCCAAACTGTCCTCAAACTCTTAATCCTCTTCTCCCTGCCTCCCAAGTGCTTGGATTACCAGGGTATACCACAACAACTGACCAGACTTCTTTTTTTTTTACCCAGATAGTTTTTTTACACAGGTGGTAGAGGTGATCTCTATAAATTTATGACCAAATATATTTAAATAAGAACATTTGCATTCTTTTATTTCTAGTGTTTAACATTTTGAGTAATAAGTTATATTAGTATAATTTGTAATTAAGTCCTAAAAAGAAGGGTTTTTTGTTTATCACAGGAGAAAATATGTTGACATCAATATTTAATTCTTCTTCCTACTGGTTAAATTGTCCTAATTGAGTATGATTTGTCCATATAGTATTCATGAACAATGTATGCAGCTTAGTTTAAATGCATGTGTGCATACCACCACAGTTGCTGCACAAGCATATAGACACCAGCATATATGTATGTATCTGTGATGCATGATGCTTAGTGAAGTCTTTTTCCAAACTCTGGAGAAATAGAGGCTCAAATCCATGGGCTAAGTTTATAGGCTAAATCTCCAGGGATTTTCCAGTTCTCTTAAAATACATGTAAAGAAATGTCCTGATATGTAGAAATTGGGTAATCAATGGAAATATAGATAATAAGGATTCCATACTTTCTTTATTTGAGTATGTTTGAAATTTTTCTTAATATTTTTTTAGAAGTCCATAAAGACAGGTACTAAATTACAACATTACAAATTTTTTTTTTTATTTCCCAGTTATGTAGTTTATTGCTTGAAAATTCACTTCTTTAAGCATCCTTAAATATTTATATCTTCTATATTAGTTATTATTTCAATCATTGTAAGATATACGTAACATAAAATTTACCATTTTAAAGTACCAAACTCATTGGTATTTATTTCATTCACAATTATCATTCAGCTATCAACTTTACATTCACTGTTGTATAGTTACAATATTTCATTATCCCAAAAAGAAACTTCATGCCCATTGAATAGTCAGTCACCTATTACTCCTTCCTTCAACTCATGACAACTAATAATTTGCATCCTGTCCCTATGGATTTGACTATTCGAATTTTTCATATAATGGAATCCTACAATATATGACCTGTCGTGTTTGGATTCAAAGTAGCATAATGTTTTCAAGGTTCATCTGTGCTGTAAGAGAATTTTAGTCTGTTATTCCCTCTGATGGCTGAATAATATCCCATTGTATGAGTATACCACATTTTATTTATCCATTCATTAGCCAGTGTATATGTGGGTTGATTTTACCTTTTTGCCTACAACGAATAGTGCTGCTAGGAACATTTGTGTATAAGTTTTTGTGACTATAACTATCTGAGTCAGTATGAAATAGTATGCTATGTTTTAATTTGCATTTCTCTCTCATGACTAAAGTTAAGCATCTTTTTCATCTGTTCGTTGACCATTTGTTTGTCTTCTTAGGAGAAATGTCTACTGAAGTCTTGTGCTCTTTTTTTTAATTGGGTCATTTGTCTTTTTACAGTTGAGTTGTTAGTGCCCTTTATATATTCTGGATACAAGGTCCTCGTTTTAATAAAACTCAATTTATGAATTTTTCTTGTCTGTGCTTTTAGTTCCTGAGAAATTGTTTGTTTTAAATTTGTTTTCCTGTATTCTATCTTCATCATTAAAAAATCTAGTGCCACACTAGTCCTTCGTTTTTTACATATGAATCCTTTAATCCCAGAAAGCCAATGTGAATCTGTTTTTTTCTACCAAAGTAAGCTTTCAATCACCTTTTAAAAATGTAATAGACACATTTATCAAATTTTTAATGACTGAGTTTTAAATAACATAGGATCCTGGAAAATATCTTTGAAACATTTGAGTATAGACTTTGCTTCCTTTTTTTTTTTTTTTAATCATTATTCTTGCACTGGAAGTACATTGTAACATTTACAAGAGTGCTTACAATATATCTTAGTTAAATTCACCCCCTCCATCATTCTCCTTCCATATAAATCTTAAGATGTGACTTCAATATCTATCATTTTTAGATTCACAATTTAGAAGATCGTTTGAAGAAATATGAAAAGAATGTATATACAACAACTATGGGGACACCTTATAAAGGTAAAAATGATCTTTCATATATGTTATCTGTGACAGTCTATTATTAGTGGACTTATGGTTGATTTTAATTTTGTCTTTTCTAATCTAAATACTCTTATTTTATTTAAAAAATTTTTTAATTAAATTTTTTATTATTTACAACATGTTATTTTGAAATATATGTTCACTATGGAATGACTAGAATGAGCTCATTAACATTAATTCCCTCACATAAAAAAAAATTTTTTTTTGTGGTGAGAACACTTAAAATCTCTCAGTGATTTTCATGAATCATACAGAATTAAGTGTAGTCACATGTTGTATATAGATCTCTTGAACTTACTCCTCCTATCTAACTGAAATTTGAACAATAAACACATCCAGCCTCCCATGCCTCGGCTCCTGGTAATTTCCTTTCTATTCTATTCTATTAGTTTTTAAGATTACATATATAAGTGAGATCATGTGATTCTTGTCTTTTATGCCTGGTTTATTTCACTTTCATATAATGGCATCATACATTCAATGATCTTTTGTTTGGCTTCAAAAGTGACATAATGTTTTCAAGATTCATCCATGCTATAGAATATCTTAATATGTCAGATTCTCCCATATTGTCCCCAGTGACAGTATTTCTTTCTTTTAAGGCCAAATAGAATTCCATTGTGGTTCATATATATTTATCTTATTAGTAGTAGTAGTAGTAGTAGTAGTAATAGTAGTAGTAGTAGTAGTAGTAGTAGTATGCTCGGTGGGGGTACATTGTGACATTTACAAAAGTTCTTACAATATATCAAATATACTGGAATTTGCCCCTCCACCATTCTCCTTTATCTTCCCCTCCCCCATTCCTGTTTCCTGTTTATAATGAATATATTTTACCTTTATAACTTTACCAATAACAGTGAGTGTTAAGGAAAGGATAGTAATCTTAAAATAAAATTAATACACAATTTTGTTTTAAAAAGTCAGTGCTACAATAGTATCAATGAAACTACATATTTCTGCTTTATTCTTCACTCCTCATATGGGCCCAGTTGACAATTTATGATTATTTGTCCAGACTCTTCTGTATATGCAAACATTTATGCAATCCACTGCATACATTCAGACATATACACTCCCTTATATGTTTTGTATGCTTTCTGTTTTTTCTATTATAATAATGCTATAACTACAAATTTTCAACCAAGACTTAAGGAAAACATGATGTCATATAAATTATTGTATTCAAGGTAGGGATAGATGACTTGGAAATGTTTTTCTTTGGGTTTAGATTGGGTATTCCATTTCCAAAGTTTAAAAGATGAGCTTGAGTCTTTACATAGTGATTTTCTTGAGATAATCATGATCTGCAAATTATTTCATAACAGTTATCCATTCTTTAAATTTTAGTTTCACAGCCTTCATTATAATAAGAATAGTTTTATTTTGTTAAAATTTTTCTAAAGCTTTCTGCTTTCTCTTGGGCGGCACAAGGAAAGTGCATGCTTTGGATTCTTTCCAAACCATTCTTCACAAAGAAGTAAAACTCAGCCTGTAAGTTTCTTATGCTCACTGCAGAGATGATTCCTGTATGTAGTTCTCAGCACAGAACTTTGCTGAGTCAGTGCTTTACAGTGCTTAGGGAAGACTACTGATTCTTTTGGTAAGCTTCAGTTTAAGGATTTTTATATATAATTCCTTTTTCAGTTTTGTAATCATGAATATGCATTTTTTTCATAACTAAAACACATATAGTACTAAGGCTTAAATACTGCTATAAACACAATATGCATATCCTTTTATCCCAGAAAACCCAAGAAATCTGGTGGAATATGCACATTAATCTTGACGTGCTAGTTCTTTAAAGACTAAAGGTAAAATGAGTACCCTCTTTGCAGAGAAAAATCATTACCTGTTCTTTAGCTGCCTCTGTGTGCACCTCTATAATAATGTCTTTATTCCTTTCTTCATACTGATCCTCCCAGATTTATGTTAATCTTTCTCCTGTCTTTCTTTCTCACCACCTCTGTATGAATTTTCTTTAGGTTTTGCTTGTTTGGGAAGTTTCTGTAATGCAGTCATACCACATGATCTGTTTGTTTCTTTTGCTTACTATAACACCTATAGAGTTATGTTATGTATAGCTGTGTTTCACTCATTTCCATTGTATTAATTTTTTACATGCTTGTACATGTTTCCAAGTACTATATACATGAAAGGTTTTCTCTGGAATGCAAAACTTAATGATAAAGTTTAGAGTTCACAGGATGTGAACATTTTCTTTACATATGTTCTAGTAGATAAGCCAGAATATTTTCTTTTTTTTTTATTTGCACTTCTCTCAGCAATGGGTGTATGTTTTTACTGCTGCAGTTCCCTCCTCCTCATTGCTATATATTTTAAGGCCCTTTAATGCTTTGGTTCTTCTACATTCTCTCTAATGATATCTCATTATTTTATTTCTATTATTAATTATAGATTGGGCATCATATTTGTTTGGGCATTTGTTGTATTTATTTATTTATCCATTAGGCCTATGATATTTCTACTTTTGACAAGTACCTCCTTCTGATTTCCATGTTTCTTCAAGTTACCTTGTCAGTTTCTTTTTATAAGTTGTGAAATATCCTATTTATTTACATTGGGGAATTTGTTAGTATATATTAATTATAAAAAAATAATGGGTTTAATGACATTTCCATACATTCGTAAAATGTACTTTGATTTTATTCTTCCCCTCTGTTACTCTATCCTCTTCCCACTTACCGCCTTTCACATTCATAATAATCCCACTTTTACTTTCATATCCTTTTCTTTTTCCACCTATGAGAGAAAAACATGTTACTTATCTTTATGAGAATAACTTAACATTATGATTTCCAGTTCCGACCATTTTTCTGCAGATGACATAATTCATTCTTATCTATCTTTGGCTGAATAAAAAGTTCCATAGTCTGCCAAGAAGAATTTTTATTCTTCAGCTGTTGGATTGGAATATTCTGTATATGACTGTTAAGTCCTTTTGATCTATGGTAAAATTTAACTCTGAAGGTCCTTTGTTAATTTTTTGTCTATTGATGGAGTATTAAAATCTCCCACTATAATTGTAATGGATCTGTCTATTCCTCTATATCCAGATATAAGTGTTTCAATGTTCAGTGCATGTATATTCACAGAAATCATGTCTTCTTAGTAGATTTTTTTCCCATTTAGTATTTATTGACCTTTATATCTTCTAATTTTGACTTGACGTCTATTTTTCAGATACGAGTATAGCTGTATCAGCTTGCTTTCAGATTCCATTTTGTTGGTATATCATCTTCCATCCCTTCACTTTCACTCTGTGTGTGTCTATACCAGCAAAGTGTGTTTCTTACAGGCAGCATACAATTAACCAGTTTGCGTCCTTAAATGGAAAGTTAAAACAGTTTACATTTAGTGTTATTATTGAAAGGTTAATGTTATTTCCTGTAAATTTTGGGGGTTTTCTTCTTGGATGACTCGAGTACCCATTCTTCTCCTTTTCATCTTAGAGGTTTGCTGATTTACTAATTTAAACATGTTTGATTCTCTCCATTTCTCATTTGTTCATCCATCCTTCTCATGAAATGTATGCTTTCCCAGTCTTTCATGATTGTCACTGTCCTTCTTCATCTGTATGTAGGATTCCTTTTAGTATCTTCTGTGTTGCTGGCTTAGTGGTCATGAATTTCTTTAGGATTTTTTTATCTGAAAGGCATTTATTTTTCCATTGACTTTATCTATTTTTTATTTGTATTACTTTTGCATTTATTTGCATGTGTATACAGTGTTTGCACCATCCCCCACCCCCTGCTACCTCTTTTTCTGGTTCTGGGCAGAACCTCCTCTTCTCCAATTTTGTAAAAGAAAAAACAATAATAAGAAAAACATGGCATTTTTGCTAGCTTGAGATAAAGACAGCTATATGGGGAGATTCCTTTTGTTGTTTACATGCATATATGTATTACAACCCAAATTGGTTCGTCTCTACCAGTCCTGTTTACTACTCCATAGTCCCCTTCCCATAGTGGCCTTGGCCAGTTTAAGATTACTGTGTTCATTACTAAACAGTGAGCACATCAACTACATTCAAGTTTTTGGTTTCCTTCCCTTGCCCTATCCCTCCTGTGTGCTTTCTCCACTTAATGTGACCCATGCCCAATAATATTGCTGTGTTTGTTTTAGGTCTGTAATCTACATGTGATTTTTGGCCTTCTGAGCCCAACTAACTTCACTTAAGATTATGTTCTCCAATTCTAACCATTTACCTGTGAATGAGAAAATTTCATTCTTCTTTGTGACTGAGTAAAATTCCATTGTGTATAAACACCTCATTTTCTTAATTCATTCATCAATAGTGGGACATCTTGGCTGTTTCCATAGCTTGGCTTCTGTGAATAGTACTGCAATAAACATGGGTGTACAGGTGCCTTTGTAGCACCTCACATTCTTTTGCATATATCACTAGTAGTGGTATTGCTGGATCTTATGGCATGTTTTTAGTTTTTTAAGGCGCCTCCATATTGTTTTCCATAGTGGTAGTGCTAGCTTACATGTCCACCTGCAGTATATGAGGGTTCCTTTTTCCCCACATCCTCAATAACATTTGTCATTGTTGGTGTTCTTGATGGTAGCTATTCTAACTGGAGTGAGGTAGAATCTTAGTGTGGTTTTCATTTGCAATTCCTTTAAACCAAGGGATGGTGAATATTTTTGTGTGTGTGTGTTTTAGCCATTTGGATTTCTTCCTTTGAAAAAGTTCTGTTTAGTTCAGTTGCCAATTTCTTTATTGGGTTTTTGATTTTTGAGGAGTTTAGTTTTTTGAGCTCCCTGAGTACTCTGGTTATCAGTCCCTTGTCTGATGTATAGCTACCAAAGATTTTCTCCTATTTTGTGGGTGGTCTCTTCAATTTGGAGACCATTTCTTTTGTTGTGCAGAAGCTTTTTAATTTCATGTAGCTACATTTCTTGATATTTTCTCTTAGTTGCTGAGCCACTTGTTTTCTTCTGAGGAAGTCCTTGCCTAT